CCAGCGGAAAAGTAAAAAATCATGCAGTTTGTGAAGAAAGCACCCAATTCACAGGAAGTGTAGACTTTAACATGATAATGAATCTTAGATATGGAGGCATCACCAAAATTGATGCTGACGGCTTAAAATTGAGGATTTCTTATATTCTCTTATTAAACTCTATTACTGTTTAAAATTGTGAAATTGCATGTTCACATATAGCAAAAATGACTTGCATGATTAGAAAGCTTGCAAAAAACTACATATAAGACTTTTAAACGGTTGATTGATTTTCCAAGCGGTTTTCCAGTTATTGCTATTTAAAAACGTGATAAATAGGCAAAAATCCCGCCAAAGTCCTGGACACTAGCCCTAAAACGTATTTTCAACCGCGCATAACTCGAGAGGAGTTGGAAAATTAAAGTAAGTTTTACCACAACTTCATGCATATATTTGTAGTAATTTTAACCCATTAAGCAGCAATTGTGGCGGCTTCTTATAACTTTTCGCTTTCTAACATTGCAGCATGCAGATGAGTTAAAACAATTCAGGACAAAGGTCAGTTTTTTGAAAAGAAATATCTTAGGTGTAGTTCATGTTTCATTAAAAATGAAAGTGATCTTTTTCTAAATTGCTGTAGCACGATGAAGATGTGAAGATTCTTTGGCAAAAAATCGAAGTGTTACAGACCATTGGACTGCTGCAACGCAGTTTCTGCAACGACCCTCGCATCAACAAGAACCTGAATCAGATTACATGTGGAAGATAGCAAACTTTGCAACAAAGCTTGCTCAAGTAACTTCTAACAATACTTATGGTAGGATTGAAAGTGAAGCTTTTTTCACAAGTCATGGTTACAAAATGAAGCTTTCTATCAATTTAAATCAAGCGCCTTATGGTGACGCAGGCTACATGGGTGTTTATTTAAAATTAATGAAAAGTGATCGAGATGGAACCCTACCCTGGCCTTTCACAAAGAGGTGCACGTTTGTTCTTGTTGATCAGCAAGATGATGTTAGGGAAAGACAAAACATTAAGAAGACATTTACTCCAAAAGGAGAGGAAGGGTTTAAGAGACCAAGACTGCGTGACAATGCAGGTATGGGAGAAACCCAGTTTGTTAAATACTCCACTCTACATACTCGTCAATACATCAGAGACGACGCTGCATATATCAAGATCAAGGTAGAACCATGAAAAATAACCACATTTATATTTGGTGTGGACGCTTTAATACCTATAGATGGAACAATATATACAATGCCAATGAAGACATTCGCGATAGTTTGCATGTTGAAAGCTCTGGCATTCTCCTGAAGATTGATATTTTTCTGATTGTTAAAATGCAATCAAAACGTATAGAGAGTTTATTTACAAGTAATATCCAATGTTGTGCTTTCTTAGCAATTTATTTCAATTTATTAAAGGTAGTTGTAATTGTTAATTTAGTTCCGTATAGCATATGTTGCATGAATATTTATTCAAATTGTAGTAATTTCTGACAATATAAGAAGATTCTCAAATGTTATCTTTGACTTTGCTATCTAGCGATTTACTGTGTAGCTTATCATGTATGCAGATTCATGAATACACATTTTCTGGGCTGCCAGCTGCCTACTATGATTATGAACAGACTCTAATTATAAAATCAATCATGCATTTTTAATGTATGCACTTCTAATACGTGGATTCTACAATGAAATATACTGTATTACAATTAACAAGGTAAAACGGTGTTTGTCTTGTTTTACTAGATAAACTCGACTCCTGTTATCCCTGTGGATTAAATAATCAAAATTTCTATTGGCAGATTAAATTCTCGATTACTTTTTTCGCCGAAATTGCCTATCATAATTCCTCGAATTTGACAAATTCTACCGCAGAAGATCGGCTAAATCACACTTCTGCTTTCGTTGATGCCGAAGCAGTGTGCTTCCCGATTGAATTTTTGTGTTGAAATGGCAACAAACGGTCATTCAGGCTACCCATTGAAGTGGTTTAAAGATCAGAATGCTGCGAGACATGCTTGGGAATGTGCTGTTTGTTTGGAAGTTTTAAAAGATCCCGTCCAAGTGCGAGACTGTGGGCATCAATTTTGTGCCCTCTGTATTGACGATATTCTCAAGTAAGTTTCACATTCGCAAGTTTTTAAAATCTTTTAAATAAATAAATACACTGTAAACCCCTTGGCAGCTTATTAATACGTTTCCTGGGAGGCAAAAGTTCTAAGCATGATGCTCTGAAATTATAAAATCTACACTAGAAATACATCTACTTTACTATTTAGATGGAAATTGTCGAGTGGAAATTTATATACATTTATTAGGGGCCGATTACATGGAGCATTTTCAACCCCGGGGTTGAACTCAACCCTGTTTACTGGGTTAAAATTTCAGCCCTGTCTGTAATACAAAACTCTATCAAAATCAAACGCGCGATTACATGACAAAATTTTCAACCCAGGGCTGAGTTCAACCCCGGGGTTGAACTCAGCCCGGGGTTGAACTCAGCCCTGGGTTGAAAATTTTGTCATGTAATCGTTTCAACGCAGGGCTGAAATTATCATGAGTTATTCGAGCATACGTGGTAATGATTATTTATTACAAGAAAACAAAATAAAGGCTTTTTTACTTCCGGGAATCGATGCCAAGAAAGTATAGTATAGCGTTTCAATCCCGGGGTTGAAATCGTCCATGTAATCGCAAAAGATTTCAACCCCGGGGTTGAAAGTTCTCCATGCAATCGGCCCCTTAGACCTAATCCCTAAGCAATCTCGTACCCAGAGTATGCCCGTTCGCAGGTTAGGTGCTGGGCATGACTCTGGAGAAACGGGATAAAATTATCAATTTCATTGGCTGGCGTGAGATCAATAACACCGATACCGGAAATTGGTGTTCAAGTGCGGGAATTACACGTGGAAATTCACGAATACGACGTTAGTTAAGTTAATTGTTACATTTAATCTGATTGAGGATTTATACGTACGATCTGTAGACTTTTGTATCTTGTATTATGGCAAATACTTTTTGTTTGTTTATATATAAATTACCGATATGATGTAACAAAATATTTACTTCAATTCAATTGCGCTAGTGATCGCCAGTGTTGGGATTTTGGCTTGTTCTGGACCTGTGTTTGCCGTTTGGAAATAGCCAGCATTGAATTTTTGTGTGGATATAATACTCTACTTTTGAGTATACCATAATATTCTTGTAACTTTATAAATATATGAAAGTATTAAATTATGTGAGCTATGGTTCTGTTACAAATACATCAAGGCCATATTATAGTAGTGGAATATTCGATGAAAGTAATAATTTTATCTCGAATTTTATAACAAACCTACTGTTAATTTAAGCCCTCCACATCCTCTCAAATTGAGATTACAAGCTATAGTTTC